TCTTGGCAACCCTTCGTGCAAACTTTCTAGGATAGTTCTCTGTGAAGGTGGATCTGGAAATATTTTCCCCTTTGTACTTTACCTGACCTTCTATGACCTGATGGACATGATCATGTTGACATCGAAGACCTGATAATTCTTGAACCATGGTATGGGATGTGGAAAGAATGGCGAGGGATTTCCGAATGAGTTTTCCGTTCTCAGGATCCTTCAATTCCCCTGCAACACAAAGATCCACGTCCACTGACAGAAGGTAGTAAAGGGCTTCCTGCAAATATGGCAACTTGAACATTAATGAACCCCGGGGCTGTTCCCAATGAAAGTGATTTTCATGTTGACGTTGAAAACGCAATACAACAATCCCTAGTGCAATCTGCTGGAGGCTCTCTTCACGAGACCGTTGTAATTCATCCCAGGCTTCAAGTGATCGGCTGCCATTTAAGCATGAGAATCCACTCCATGGTCCACATTTTGGGCTGAACCAGACATGCTTGGGCTTTTTCTGACACAGCATTCGAAACAAATCATGACGGCCGGAAATGGTATGCAAATCTCCTTGCTGGAGCCCAAACCGTTCGGCTTTCAACCCGAGCTGCTGCGACTGTGACGTCAGTTGGCTTTGCGGTCCACAGAAAATCTCAAGAACATCTAGACGGTAACCATGGCTGTTGGTGTTGTTCTGAATTTGGGAAAGTTCGGTGGTGTATTGCTGAACAAATTGGTTGAAAAGTTTTCTCTCATGGTTGGTTTCTGGTGTTTCCTGTTGGGTTTCGGATGCAAAGCACTCGGCACTCACATCGCCTGCGAAAGTCTGAGCTGCAAGACTGGGGCACTCCTGATCTCTCACTGTGGGGTGGCCATGGTCGGATTCATGGCCTCCAAGTGCTGAAGGATACTTGCCAGCGCAGTCTCGACCCCCTGCATGCGACTCTCCAAGTTCATGATCTTGACATTCTCCTGGATTGGAGCTGTCTCCGAGAGCATCTCGAAGGTCTCCGGGTCGTCTTCGTAGTCCCACAGGGACGTCTGGATGGGTACCGTCACCATCGCCTTGGCTTTGGCCCTGGCCCCGTGGTTCACTTCCGGCTGAGAGGCCTGAGCTCCGGTGAGAGACCGGGTCTTCTCGACTTCCTTCTGGTTGGTCAGCGGGACTCCTTGGCCTGTCAGCTCGGCTCTTTCCACCATCAGTTCGACGAACTTCAGGAAAACCATGTGCTCGGCCTTGCCGGAGTTGGAGTACCTCTGGACGAACCATGTGGTCCAGCTCTGCTCGTTGTCCCACATGTCTTGAAACGTTCGACCATGGTGGGTCTTGCCGAAACTGATCTTCTGATCCTTCATCTCTTGAAGGGACATGTGAGAGAGATCCGGCTTGGCTTCGGTGGTCGCCACTTGGACCTTCTGGAGGCGCTGTGCAAGGCTGGTCATGGCGGTCCCGGTCAATCACACGAAAACTTGAGGGAAATCGCTTGGTCCGATCAGTTCTCTGGCATGTGCTGTCGGACATCTGGATTTCCTCATGTGACATGTATGGACTGGCTTCTCGGTGCTGAAACATTACCTGAGATTGGTGAGACCGACTTGGAGCAGCAAAACTGGTTTTGACACTGGATTCAACTGCTTCGACCTGGATGTCCTCGGCAGGATGGGTTTCTGCCAATCTGGAAAACTTGCTCTGGCCCGGTTGTTGTTGGGCTAGAACATTCAAATCTAGGAGAAAAAGTCCCTTGCTGGTCAGAGTCAATGGGAAACTTTGTTGAGTTTTCCTAGAATGCAACACCTGGTTTTCAGTATCCACTGTGGCCTGCAAGGCTCGTAGCAACGTGTTGGACAGCAGCAGTGGGGTGGACCCCGGTACTACGGCAATTTTCAAGAGTAAACCTTGAATGGGGATGACCAACGCTTGTTTACTTTCTAGGACCCCATGATTCCCAAACCGGAAAGTAATGCTACATGGACACCTTGTCACCTGCTGGCGAATGCTCGGATGTAAATGGTTCAACAGCTCAGGCACTAGCTTACTCCCCATTACTGTTTTGGTGGCCCCGAGATCCACAATCCCATAGCTACCGTGTGATGCGAAACATGTTGGCTCGGCATCAGCGGGCACTAGGCTTTTCGAAGGCTCCATAGAGGCTTGGCCAAGAGCCCTCTGCTTCAGTCGATGTCTCCACGGAGGCACGGCATCATCATCAGTCCTGACCAGGGATGCGGCTTGATTTTGATTCTGTTGCCATCGATTAAGAGACTTACGAAGCTGACTACGGGTGCTTTCATGAGGAACTACCATGTGAATGAGGCTGAAATTAATCTGAGAATCATCCAGCGTGGTTTCATGAGCTGGCAATCGCAGAAATTCCAGTGGCAAACCCGCATCCGGATCATCGGTCGGAGTTGCCGTCACTTGCACGAATGTGGTGGGTGCTTGAGGAGCACGGCTTCCGGTGCCGGAGTCCCCTTTGTTGGGACATTCGGCCTTCCAATGACCCATCTTCCCACACAATCGGCACCTTGACTCTAAGATTCTCTGCTGTAACGATTTCCTCGATGAGGAGTGGCCCTTGTTGAACTTGCCTTTGACACCTTTGTTGAAACCTTTTCCACGGCCCTTTTGGCCAATGGGCCAGAATCCACGGTTCCTGACCTTGTCGTTCAAACGTCTCCTGGCATCGGCATAAGCATTATATGCTGCTGCCAGTTCGTCATCGTTCTGAAGCAGCTCACTGGCAGCTGCCTCAAAATCGGCAACCAGGGAGGCATCTTCATCCCCTTCCTGAGCGAGGGCAACAACCATGGCTTCATCATCATCGTCCATGGTTTCGGCTGAGAAGGCTGTCTGATCAGGTTCCATCTCTTACTGATCCTCGGCCATCAGAGTTGTTTGATCGTAGGTTTTCAGCTTCCCAGTTCGCCGGCCGGCGGTCATCTCATGAAAAAACCCTGCACCAAGCATGCGAATTGACGAGCTCACCTTTTCTACGGTCAGAGAACCCTTGTTTGCAGCATCTGAGTCTAGCAACACCCGTTTCTTATCTTCAGCAGTCAAAGTAGAACCCCTCAAGGTCACGTATGCTTGAAGATCGCTGAGCTGAAATTTTCGACTGTTCAGCTCAGTCCACATGATGTCAGCACGGGCCAAGTAGCTGTCAGCACTCTCATCAGATTTCTGCTGGCATTTGTACAAGGCTTTCTCGGCATATTCATAACGCTGCTCAAGGTCTATTTGCCCCCAGTGTCCACCAAGCAGTTCTATGATTTTCTGTATGGATTTCCGATCATTCTGAGTCACTTCGGATTGGTGAAGCTGGAGCTTCTTGAATGCAGAACCACTACAATTCAGTATCAATCGAGTTGCAAGCTCTGTGTACTTGTTTGGTGGCCAGGCTTCCAAGAGGAGCATCACCTTCTGAGAGTAAATCTGCAGGTCATCCTTGCTAGGATCGAACGTCGGCACAAGCACTGCTAGTTGATTTGAAACATTGGTTTGACCTTCTGATGATTCCGACATGCGCTGCGGTCGAGCAGCTGATTCTTCAATTTCCTCAATCCCCCCTGGATCTTCCGTCGTAGGAGCAAACGGAGCTCCGCTACCAGTGTAGTTGGTCTAGGACCACAACTACCTGGCAGCTTCTCCCTCCAAGACACCAAAGCGCGGGCACGCGCCTCTTTTCCAGAGACACTCCTGCTGATGCAAAAGTCCCAAGGCTCTCTGAAGAGCGGCCAAAACTGGATTGCAAAAGGCGATATCAGCCTTCTTACCAACAACGGATCAAAGCCCCTGGCTTTCAAGGACGACCTCGTCCACCAAATCCCAAAGTAGCAAGTCTATGGCTAACAAGCACCAAATGTGAATCCCTCCCGCTGACCTCTCCTATGGTTCCCTGAGCCAGGGTGCTGAGGTGGACATGAGGTCCTGGAATTAGAGCTGGTTTCGGAACGGCTGTGGGTAAAGGTTCTGGTCACTCAAGATCAGTTGCAATGATGTGGAATTCACAATATATATATATATACATATATATATATATATACATATATATATATACATATATATATATATACATATATATATATACATATATATACACACACATATATATATATATACATACACACGTATATATACATATACATATATATTTATACACGCGTATATATGCATATATACATACACACGTATATATATATATATATAAATATTTGCATACACACGTATATATATATATACATATACACATACACACGCATACACGGACACACACACACACATATATATATATATACATATATATATATATGTACATAATAGAGACACATAGGAACATTATATTGCAGACATAGATGCATATAATCTTACATTATATTACAATACATTGCACTACACTACATTACGTTACATTAGATGCCATGCCATTCCATTCCATTCCATCACAATCCACTACATTCCATTACATTCCATTACATTCCGTTACATTCCATTCCATTACAATCCCTTCCATTCCATTCCATGACAACATACATTACATTACATGACATGACATTACATTACATTCCATTACAGTGCAGTACGGTACAGTACAGTCCAGCGCAGTAGATTATTGCATCACAACTGCACTGTTCTGCATTGTATTGCGTTGCATTACTTGCACACCTATGTATGTATAATATATATATATATGCATGTATGTATGTATGCATGCATGCATGCATGTATGTATGTATGTACGATACCAGACCAGAAGTCAGATGATTCACGTTGTTTGGTGCAGATTTCAAGAAGGTTGCGGGCCAAGAGCTGTGGCCCACCAGTTTGATCCATTGTGTACAAAGGTGTTTGGCAGGCCATTGCAGTTGTTCGTAGAGTAATACTCCTCCTCACTTCTCACATCCCAAACCTTGAGCATACCTATGTAAATTGGACATTTGACATGGATGCTGTCAATTTTTGACGCACCTCACTTCAAAAACACTTCACTTGAAGCTTGCAGACGGGTGGATGGCAGGATCCATTTCTGAAGACCTGCGGCATCGCGGAGTGGCCCACCGAGATGCACCGTTTGCACAGCCTGGAGGTGGCGGCTCGGACCATGGCACAAAACGTGGCGCTCAGGCCAGCGGGCCGTAGGGATGCAGAGCTGAACCGGAGGCATTTTTTTCTCCATCGCAAACTTTAACTTGAATGGAACATGTGGAATGATTTGCTGTTTTCTGTTTTTCGATTTCGTTTTCGGAATGAATACTCTCTCGTTAACAAATATGGCATGCACGAATTTGAGTGCCTTTGCGGATGGTTCACCCACACAGATGGCGGTTTCCGTGGACTTTTAATTGCCATGTTTGTTTGCTGGAGTCACAGACTGGAAGAATCCGAAAATGATCAGGAACCTCTATATTTCAAGGTAAAACACGGTTTCCCTTGGTTTCCTGTAGGTTTTCCCTTGAGCCAACATTGATGGAGGGTCACCCCTTTTTGTGGAAGAGCATCAGGCTAGCAGAGATTTTGTTGCAGCAGCTCTTCGAGTGGGCCGGGCCAGGACGGATTGGCAGCCTTGGCCGGGAGACCGATGTTCAATGGAGCCGGACCCTTTTGCTTTGAGAGCAGTGGCTGGCTTATTCCAGCGACTAGCACTGGCTGCCACGGTCTGCTAGTCCTTCAATTCTTTCGAGTACCGTCAAGAATAAAAGCACATCAGCGAACCCACACCCGATGTGTATCCGGCCGTGCGACATGGGGGCTTCCGATAGCCTGCCTGTATGCCCATCTGATATTCTTTAAGTAGCAATATATTGCAATATGTTCAATCTCAATCTATATGTCAAGGTTCCGACTTCACGCGCAGGGTTCTGACCTCACTGATTCACTGGTGTATCATCATTTTCCGCCCAACATTGGACAATTTTAGGCCATTTTGGACCGCATCACGGGAAGGACCCCTTGGTTTTTTCAACGCCACGCCAACGTCAGGACAGGAACGGCGCCAGAACGAGCAGCTGGACCCCCACTACGCGCAGGAACTTCGCCGTGGCTTTGCCAAGTGACCGGGCAGCAAACCAAGAATGGATGGTGGTCATTTCGCTAAAATTAATGATCCACAAAATATATCACCCCATATTATGATGTTGGATAATGGTGGGTTTATATACCACCCCATCCAGCAAACTAAAATAAGCATCAAAATGCTCGAATATGATCTCATGTATTGCTTGCGTGGTTTATCTTTGCAAGCCAGTGCGCTATGGTGAAGGCCTTTTCTTTTTGTGCAGGTTTTTGCTGGAATTCAAGCTGACAATCCCATGTGGCACAGTGCTGCGGCCAGGTACCACGCCTTGCCCACCAATCAGGGCTGGATGGCTTGGCGTTTCGAACATGAAGGCATCTGGAGCCATCGCCAATGGTCCCCCCTTGGTGGATCTATCAACCTCCCGTATACTGTACATCTGTGTACCGAAAAAGATGTAAAAGTATGTAAAAGTAATAGATCCTCCACCACTCCTTCGTTTCCAGGGGATGTTTCTGACTGAAGGAAATTGATTATATAGTAGGTTTGTTTCAAGTTACCCAAAACGAACCACTAAATCCTAGTAGGATATAGTAGGTTTGTTTCAAGTTAGCCAAAACGAACCACTAAATCCTAGTGCAAAACAGCATGGCACAGTCCGTGTACAAGCTGCTTACTAGCATTTACTAGCTGCCCCTTGGATCAAGAAAAGATCCTCATTCTGGGGGCCCAATATGTCGCAACATAAGCATATTTTGTGATCATAGGGGATGGATTGCAGAACGAGTTTTGTTTTAGCTGCCTGCCACCAACTTTCTGAACGATTGCCTGGATCATTCATAACTGACGTGTCACACATGTCATTCACATAATTTACATAAATCGATGTTTTATGAGTTGCAAAGGTGCAGTAAACCCAGTTCCTAGGCCCTAGGCATCACTATCCCCATGTCTATCAGTGGGACATTGGAAGCACAAGCGCCAGGCGAAGATCCGATGTCAGTGGAGATCTTTTTGCCTGATGTCAGTGGTCGAAACGGTGGCCACATAGTGTTGGATCGCTGTCTGAGCCTGGGTGGCACATGGTGGCACAGCAGAGCTGTGACAAGGGCGGTGAGATGTTTGACTACACTTGATTGTGATTTCGCATGATCTTACATCTAGTTGAGTTGTGTCTCACAATGTCTTGCATGATCTTGCATTTGCGTCGCTTGCTGCTTGCCACTCAGAACTATGATTTCCCCTCATGTTTCACATGCATGCGGCAGAATATGAGGGAAGATTCCAAAACCCAAAAATGAAACACGACAGTGTTAGCGCCTCTCTCCGAAGAATCATGAAGAATCCAAACCACGCAGGCTGTGGCCACATGTTTCCATAGTGGTTCAAGCTCGCAAACAGGCAGGGCAATGCTAGTTTTGTGATACTTTGTTCTCATATCTAAAGGTCCGGACATGCACCAAATTTTCGATCTTACAGCGCCAATAATTTAGGGATATTGGGTTCATCTTGGCCCGGAAAGCCCAAGCAGTAATCTTCGTCTTCTCTCATTGCAGCAAATACAAAGGCACACCACCACCAGGTCCTCCCATTGGTCGACTGCAGAGGTTTCTAGTTTCTACTTACCCACTCTTACCCGCGATCTGCGTTGGCAACATCCTATTTGCAATACCTAACCTACACTAACATAATACAATAGCCTACATCTCCACAACTATGGGGATGTTTCCCCATGGCCGATTGCGCCGAGGAGCCATTTGTTGCGCCACTTCCAGCAGCTGGGCATGCGCTCCGCCAGCCACGCGGCCGCGAGTCCGGAACCGAGTCCGGCGCCGAGTCCAGAGCCGAGTCCGGAGGAGGAGAGCCTGGAGGTGGAAGGAGAACAGCAGGCGCAGTGGGGGGTCCACAGTGGGCACAGCTTGGCAGTTTTCCAGTTCGACCCTCGCAGATATTGATTGGATGACTGAGCCACCTCTCAGGATAGTATTTTAGGAATTTTTAGGACATTTTAGGAGGGTCCATGGAAGTTTCTGGCAGGGTTTCATGTCAACATCGGATGCACAACCCTGGTTGTCCAAAGTGTAATTTATTCAAGTGGAGGGTCCCATTTATGAGTGGAAATACAATGAAGAATTATCATCGCTTTTACCTTGCGGGGGCGTGGCAGGGAAAAGCATGTAAAACAAAGCGCAAAGGGGCCCCCAATGAGATTTTATTAGTCCTAGGTCCTAGGTCATGGATCTTTTCAACCATCTGGCCAAGTTCTACAGGAGTCACCTGTGGAAACCAAATTGCGAGTGGCCATGGCATATTTGCAGTGCTGGCTCCACAAGGCCAGGGAGATCCAGGTAGATCTCAGTGATGGTGATGGTGGTGGTGGTGATGGTGATGGTGATGATGATGGTGATGATGATGATGATGATGATGATGATGATGATGATGAGGCTGTGGCTTTTGGTGCCTTTGACGCATCTGATATTTGTTACACCTGCTACACATTACCATTCCGAAAACCTTGGCCTCAGGTTGACCAAGTCTTGTGCCATGCTCTAGATGCACGGGCTGGGCAGCTGTCGAGCATCCATATTTGTGTGGCAGAGAGACTTGCACTGGGAGGTCGAGAGGCACGGTCCTGCCGTGCAGCAACCGCTTCCTGAAATGAATTATTCCCCCATTTGGATCTGCTTTCATTCTTTTTGCCAGATAGATGACATTGTGAAGCCAAAACTACTGCCAGGTCGACGCTCACTTTGCTGAGCTCATGCTGTACATGGCGCAGCCTACCGATGAGACGCGCTTGCGCATCCTGAGGGCAGCTGTGCAGCAGCTGCTGCTGAAGGCTTTGGCTTTGACGCCACAGCAGGCGACGTGATCATTTGCCTGCTATTGGCAGTCTGACTGGAGAGGGTGATGGAGAGGGGGGACACATCATGGCACGAGGGTTTCTGTGCACCAAAAGTGACACGTTGACGTACATCGATTAGGAGTTGTTGATGTTTGATTGAGTCGCAGGCCCCCATGTTTGAGGCATGCCGTAGTTTCCCCTACTACAATACTGGAAAGGATCCACATTTCCGGCCTTCTGGCCTTGATCGGAGCGAAGCCCTTACCACTGCAGGCAGCACTTGCTGAGAATCTGGGCATCGAGGTTCTCACTCGCTTGACTGAGAGTCAAAAGCCTGGGCTGGCAGCCCAGCGAGTGCTACAACACTTTGGCTTTGATGATTCGGATCCAGCCCAGCTTCCACTGACCTGGTGGTTTCACCTGCCCCCCTTGGAGCTGGAAGATCCAGAACCTACGCTGGCACGCGGCTCCGCTGGGGGCCCTAGCGCCATTGCTCGCCAGCCTGGTCCCAATGGATGGATTGCGAAAGGCGGTTCTGGAGCACCTGCGATGGGCCATAGCCACGGCCTAAGCCATGCTCCCATGGCACCCCAAGCAGCTGAAGAAGGCGACCCGTGGGCCAACTGGGTGGGTCTGTCCGCGGAGCACGCCCCACTGTTGCGCGAAGCTGTGACATTGGCACGGAGAGCGGGACGCCCACATGAGGGATTGGAGGCGCCCTGGGCTGACCGAATCCAAAGAGCTCCCACTCCACAATTATATTAATATAGTTGTAATTATTGGGGTCCACTTATTTGCTATAGGCTATATATATATATTTAATTATATCGTTTAAACCTTTCTTTGGTGGTGGGTCAATGGGTCAATTTAAGGTCACCCAAGGTTTGCCGTGACTATCGAAACTTCCTCGCGCAAGATGTGCAGGCAACTTTACTGTATCCCTCCTGGTCTGCCGTTTAAGCTCTCGTTGCACTTGTGCGTTTGGAAGTTCCAAGCCAATAAATGAAGACCACCTTCTACAGACATTCCCAGACACTCTCCATGATCCAGAAGAAAACAAGATTGCCTTTTCTTGCCAGTTGGGCGGAGCAGTTTTTCTACTGGCTGTCCTTTTTACCCCATGCTCAGCTTTGTTTGGCCACCTCCTCTCCCAATTGAGAGTTTGACGGCTTGACATGGACTTGTGCTGATTAGGAGTTTGAGTTTCTGGTTTCAAGACCCAGTGGCTATCTTGGCGGTTTGTCTCCTTTTCTTTCAAAAATTCAATCCTTTTTCTATGCCTTTCTATTTTTCCCAACCTGCCAGGTGAGGGTCCGTAGATTTTAACAAAGGTGCAACTCACTTCTTGCCCCGTTCCTTCCTTCCCCCCCTCCTGTACCCTTGCCAGATGCAGTGGAGGTCGCCTGGACCTCCAAATCATCAGCCCAGGATGCTGTGGAGTGTGCCTGGACCTGAACGCATGCCAGAGAGAATGCCAGAGAGAACGCCAGATAGACAGAATATTAGAAAGAATTGAAAGAATGCTGAATAGATCCAAATAGGAAAGAATGTCGGATAGAATGTCGGAATAGATGCCAAAAAGAATGCCAGAATGTATGTCAGAATGGATGTCAGATAGAAGGCCAGAAAGAGTGTCACATAGAATGTCAGAGTGTATGCCAGAAAGAGTGTCAGATAGACTGCTAGAATATATGATGAATATATATATATACAATTACATATATATATGTATATGCCATCTATACTTTCAGATGATATGTCAGAAACATATCAGAATAGTGTGCCAGGATGGGGATCACTCGAAGAAAGTAGTTTATTCTTTCCATTCATTTGCTGAGCCTGACATAGGCCTATGCCGATGAGCTTGAAGCTTTCGCCCGCTGCGGTGCCTCTGGTGGCCACAGTGGCCATGCTTCAGGCAGCGGTGAAGCCCATGGCCAGGGTGGCCTTGGTGGCAGCGGTGCCCAGTGGGCCGAACGAAGGGCTCGAGAGGTGGAGGACTTTCTTGCAGGCGCTGTTGATTGGACGTTTTTGTTGGGGCGTTCCCATTGGTGAACTGCGGATGTTAATTGGTGCGGGGCTCCCATTTAAGAACGTGGGAAAGAACAAAGAAGGGGCAATATGAACCGACGAGGGGTGCTGACCAAATCAATCTGAAATGATTTCTTGCGCTGCCATCACGTGCGTTCTCAAATCAAGGCCTGGGCCCGGATGATGCCAACAGTGACCCTTGGCTCAAACAGAAAGGGAGGCATGATGAGTTTTTTTTCCCCTATGTTGACCAATGTTGACTACATCCCCATCAAACCTTCAATTTTATGGGCGTATCAACCCAAACAATCAGATATGCACCTCAACTAAAATTTCTGGAAACACCCCCCCCAAAAAAACAAAATCATACACAATCCCTTAGATTCTGAAAACAATCCCTAACATATCCAAATACTTAGATCTTGATGATTTAAATATTTTAAATGTGTGTTGATTTTCATGTAAAAGTTCTTGACATCCAAACAAGATTGGTTGGAGACCCATTTTCCTGCGGGATTGGCCCTCAGGTGGCTCCATCGTCGCCCGAGGCCGTTTTCCACCAGCTCCGCATCCATTCCGCCCAGCTGCGTGCCCTGGCGGCCCCGGGCGCCCTGCCTGAGGTGCCTTGGTGGGAGTGCTATGACTGGTAAAACTGCAGAGAGAGAGAGAGAGAGAGATATGATATATATATATATATTATAGAATAAGAACATGTGTCAGGATTCCACGAAGATGATTGGATAATACAAATTATAGGGATTTCATGTAATGTTTGATTCTAGTATCTTTAGGATTTTAGGGGGATGCACTTGACTTGTTTTTCTCTTAAACGGGGCAAACCATGCAACACCCGATTTTCACACTAGTTCCCTGGGATCCCCAGAATTGATTGGTAGGAACATGTACAAGAACCCCCGGAAGACAATGGTTTTCAGTGGTTTTTCACTTCTATCACTTCATGAAGCACTAGTTTCCTGGAAATCTGTATGTTTTCCCTTGCCTTCCGGCTAGCCCAGCACAAGATCCCAGGCCAACCTGCCACCAGCCGCCGAAGCGGCCGCAGCAGCGGCAAATGCGACCGCGGAAGCAACCTTCCTGGCATTTGAGGCCAGGATGTATATCCCCCAAAAAATGGGAGAAACCAGGGTTGGATTGAATAGAGCAACCCCCGAAATAGATAGAAATGTTGGACACCTGGAATTTATGGGGGGAACATTGTGACATCCTGGAACAATTTTCTGTCCTTTTTGGGTGAATATACGGTATTTTTTGACTTGTTGTCATACATTGGGACCTAGATCGAACGTTACACTAAAAAGCTGAACAACAATATTTATATAAGTTCTTTTTTGGGACTGACACGATGGACTGGGGAACCCATGGGAACCCTATATTCAGACAAATCCTGAAATGAAATGATGCTCAGTTTCCCCTCCTGTGCACATCGCACACTTGGACTGGAATCCACTGAAATGGCGTATATCCCATGGGGTGTGTCTCTGTTGGTCACGGTTTCCGGATGACCTCAATCGTTGCAGGCCCCACCCCAAAGTTGTCGGTCCAATTTGGGTAATTTTTGCGAAACCGAACTCCAAAAAGGTTATCTTCATCTGGTTTTTAAACTCATCTTGGTACACCACCGGGATTTATACTTACCCATCTAATTTTATAATCATTATAATCCCCTATATAGAATGCATCCATAAATCTGTTGCCTGTTAATCCCAGTAGTCCCTCTAGGTCTATCCAGCCAATGGGGCCCCAAGCCCTGCTCAGCGTGGCTCAGGGCGACTTCCACCTTCAGCAGGGGTGCCCTACATTGAAATGGTTCAACCACGTTTTTACTCCGGGCCAAGTCCGGGACATGAAACCGTGATATATAGTGAATTTCTGGCTCTACTTGAGGAATCCGTCGCTAGTTGCCAGTGGCAATTGGGCAGCTGAAAACAAACTTGTGCACCATTGCGAACATTTTCCCATTGATTTTATTTTTCGTTTATGCGTGGGTTGGTTTCAACCTTCGCCTAGTACCACTTCATTGAACCTTGGCTGCTGGCAAAATCAGCCAACTTCAGGTAGCATTTCACTTGCTGATTTCAACCAAAATTGAACTTTCAATTGGGATCAATTTACCTCCACCCATAGTTGGCTTATAAAGGGGGGGGAATCAACTCCGTCCATGGACAGCTGATGACAGCTGTATTCCTGGGAATGTTTGGCAAACATCAGCCATCAGGTACGCCGTGGATGAGATGGAGGCATTGGAGGAGGATGCTCCCAACGACCGGGCGTTTCCCACCACAGGCAAGACCTTGGCTAGATGTGCAAGTTGGGATGGCAAAAATCTCACTTCACGTCACTACAGGTATATGAGCCCCAAAAAGATAGAAAAAGTGAATTATCACTTTTTTGGTAGGCTTTTACTTTTCTGTCTTTTTGGGGGTTACTATAGCTACAAAAGGCCAGTCATGGTTTTTGGAGTTGGATCTAACCTTGGCCTTGGAGCCTTGGGGTCTCGGCTCGCAGGACGTCTATCCCCAGAAGAGGAGCGACAGGTGGCCGAGTGGGGCGAGGAATGGGTGCGGGGCTTAGCCGAATGGCGAGATGATCCATGGATCGATGTGGGTACAAGCCGTGCAGAGATGATGTGCAGAGATGCCCTTCTTATCCCTTCTTCATTTTGATGATGCTGCAGCTTTTCCTTCAGGCTATTCCTCGTTGGGTTGGAAGTTCAAAGAATCCACAGCTTTATGGGTTTCCAGCCTTGTCCAACGAATATATATATATATAAATAATCTATCTCTCTCTCTCTCTCTTTTTCTTTATCCGTTTTCTATGAACAAGGAATGAAAAAAAACAAGTACTAGCTCGGTGTCTCCATCCCGTGCGAGCGAGTCTCTCTGCGCTCTCCCACCAGGCTGCGCGGCTGAGGTCTTCAAGACGTTGGTCCGGAAGTATCGAGAGCGACCCGATGCGCCCTGGGCGCCACAGATTCCCAGATTTCTATAGATTTCTGGGGTAGAAATGGTGATAGGATTGATACAATGTGCAGTGATCATCAATTATCATCAATGATCTACATTGTATTCCCATGGATGAATCTGGCGAACCTCGGTGATGGTTGTGTTTCTATCCTTGGATGGGATTAGGTGAAAAATGGTTTGGTGTTGCAGGAGCGGCTGCCCTGGAAACTCACAACGAGGCTTTCATATTTTGCACCTCAGGACGAGCAGGGCCACCCACATTAAAAAAGGCAAACACCTACCACGGAAATTTAGCCAATGAAGGCCCGGAGGCCTCCGTTGTGTTCGCAACCAACTGTTTTCCACTGTGCCAAACTGACTCCCAACGCGTCTCTTCCCAAATGACATCGTTTGACACACTCCACCACCCCCACACTCACAAGACAACACGGCAAAGCCCAAATTTATTGATCAGGGAGGGAGCGCCCCCAAAGTTGTATCATGTTGTTTGATGGAAACTGAACGGTTCAGAATATGATTTTGATATATTTTGATTTTGATCTCATCAATAAATTTCACATAATTTCACTCTATCTCATCGTAAAAATCTAGAGAACATGATCAACCCAGGCTTTTCTTTGTACTATTTTGTACTGTGACCAATTTGGGACATTTTGGAACCGAGGTGCGAGTCCAATGGCTGAATCAGCAAAATGAGCAGTTCGACTTCTACGACATCGCCCTTCAGTTCCCGCACGGTCGACAGGAATTCTATGAAGTGAAGACCACCGTGACAACAGACAAGCGCTTGTTGGAGGCCGAAGCGACGATGGAAATCAGTCCTATCAAAAAAAGAGGTGTGGAACTGTTGAACTACACGATCTGTTTGTATTTGCCAACCGATTATGAATGGTACAAGTAGTCAATTAATTAAGTACTCAAACTACTCAGGGTCAAGGGACTTCCTGCACAGAAGTGCTTAGAATCAACGGCTGTGAAATCGCCCCAGCCTTCTTGGAGAACAGGAAAACTCCATTTTCTAAAGTGAGCTAATCATTAAAAATCAACAAAGGCAATATTTTACCAGTTCTAGTTGCCCTTTTAGATCGCCACATATTGCCTTTCTTTTTCCTGCAACGCTTGTTGAATGGTAGGCTCATCATTT